TGACTTGACTCTTGGTAATTACTAACGTTAACACACAGGTAAAATGTGTAACGGACGCCTCGTAGATACAAACGGGGGAAAATAATGTTTTATGTTTTAATTAAAAGATCGTTAACATTAAACGTCAGCGAAACCCTAAGAATTAAAAAAAATTTTTACAATAGTGCTCTCATTATATCGTTATGTATATGACAGTAGTTATTAATGTTCTGCATTTCTGTTTTGAGCTGCACGCGCTGCAGATGACCAGTAGAGTGACGCATTTGATAGCAAGTTTTTAATCAATTGTATTTAACTCATCATTTATCTCATATAGAATACGCTTCGTTATTTATACAACATAACGTTAATATTACGACTTATTGGCTCTTTGCAAAAAAGGGCCCGAATGCACCTGAACGTGTCTGCGCGTCTTTGAATGAACTCCTTTTGTGGATGCATTCTTCACGCAACAACGTGCAGAAACACGGCAACTAAACTCATAACATTATAATAAGAACACTATTATAATAAAACGTTGTTAATTTTTTGTGTATGACAGTCCCAGTCATAGTTATTAATATTCTGCATTGTTGTTTGTCCTGCTCGCACTGCGCGCTGAAGAGATAATTAAAGTAAAGTAAAGATTTAAATCCCTGCCGCCAAGAAGCTCGTCTGTCGTCACGGATTACGGAAAGTGAAACTTAAATCTATAGGGGTGGTTGGATTTATTCACGCACGTTAAAATATTTATTTGAAGCTTCTTTTCAGATTCTTATTTACAGCATTATCATAATAGAACTACTGGTTTTCTCCCAATAAGGTAATATATAGCCTATGTGAAATCAGACGTTTGCACCCCAATATAGCCAAAATGGCATGATCATAACACCCCGCGAATATTCGACTGTTAGACTGGTAGTCGAATCAGGATCCTCCTTTCTAAGCATCGAATCGTCGACTATTCGGGGTCACCCCTATTGCCAATATTTGATGTTTTAACAATGGCTATCGTCAATACATGATCATCGTCTTTCAACGCACCCCAGCACGGGGAGGTTATCGCGGGGCCCTCCTACAGTGCGTGCCCATCCACTATGCCACTGGGTGGGACATGAAAGGAGTAGAAAGTTTAAGTTCATGCTCCTCTTGTTACCACTCTTAAAGGGATAGTTCACCCAAAAATTAAAATTAGGGGGGGTGAACAAAGGCGAATCGAATCGATGCGTTTTTAAAAAAAAAAAGATCTATATTTAAAACGTAATAATCACTTTAATCTAGCTTGTGCCAACAGTTGTACACGGAAGCAGCTCCGGGAGGATGACGTAAGATGTCGGCGTTGCACATGCGCCAGTGAGTCTCGTGAAAACCATTGTATGTTTACAGGACCAAAGGAAGCAAAGTTTCCTTACTTTAGGAAAGGAAAAACTGTTTCCTCTTGGCTTATATCGAAATCCTCCAACATTATTCTTTACAAATCCTCATTTTGTACTTCTAATTCGTGACCGTTGTTTTGTTTTCATCTCTCCCCTGCGGTTCTGCGTTCATCTCTTCTGAGCAGCGCAGGCGCAAAGCCGACGTCCTACGCCATCCACCCGGAGCTGCTTCCATGTACAACAGTGAGCCCAAGCTAGATTAAATTGATAATTACGTTTTAATTATTACGCATCAATTCGCTACAGGAGGCCTTTGTTCACCCCCCGGAGCCGTGTGAGGCACTTTTTATTATGGATGGATGCGCTTTATTTCACTTCTTTTGGACTGATGCACTGCAACACCCGCTGACTGCAATGATAGAGCTTGGTATAGCCAGGACAATTTTTTATATAACTCAGACTGGATTCGTCTGAAAGAAAAAAGTTATATACACCTAGGATGCCTTGAGGGTGAGTAATTCATGGGCTAATTTTCATCTTTGGGTGAACTAACCCTTTAAGCGGACTGTTTATGATAGCTAGCAGCTAAGCACATCTATGAGTGCATGTCTCTGTGTCATACCTGCGGATTCATTTTTAATTTCCCTTGAAATGAAAGGTTAAGCAGTTTCTTTTTAGACTAATTATTAAGGAATTTTCTGTTTCAGGAAGTTGTGTTCCCAACTGGGCTAAAGAGGATGTCCCTCCTTATTTGTGTTAGTTGTGTTCCCCATTTTTTTTCTGTCCAGGGCATCATTGGGGTGCCCCCTATAAAATCGGTATATGTTTGCCATCATTTTTGGTGCTCTCTCACCAGGTGGATAGACATGCATCGAGGCATGGCATAGTTGGTATTTCGTTCCTAAAAGTGTCCACTAGAAGACTCAGTGTGAATTCCCTTAAAAGGGAACATCTTGGGTTACGCATGTAACCATGGAAATTAGACACTGCGTCCCCTTACCATGCCTAGGGCCTGCCTGTTTCACATCTCTTCAGACAAAGAATTGATGATGTGCATTACAGACACCCTCTTATACTTCAGGGCACTCTGCTAATGACATTACGAGCTACGTAGATTAATGGATTGAGCATCATTTTCCCCTCTCATGGACTTAAAAATTAGTCTAATGTGCATCAGTTTTCTGTTAATACCCTCACCAATCGCCTTACCAAAGAACAACATTCCTGGTTATAATTGAAATATGCTATCTCCACTGTGCTCAGACAAGAGAGCATCCACAAACGTAGCTGTGCTCTATGCTATGTGTGACAGCATTAAAGTTTCTTAATCCCTTAAGACATAACTGACTGTTAAAATTAATTTTAACATCATAAAAGCATTCTGAGATGAGAAGTGGTCTGCATCTCCTGCACTGCACCAAGCCAGATGTCACCATTCAGATTAATGAACAATTCAAACTAGAGACCTGCACTTGGGTACTCCCCCAGCGGTGGCGAACTCCGGTCCTGGAGAGCCCTGCAGAGTTCAGCTCTAACACTAATTAAAACTCACCTGCCTGTAGCTTCCTAATAACCGTTCAGACCTTGATTAGCTTGTTCAGGTGTGTTTGATTAGGGTTGAAGCAAAACTCTGCAGGGCTGCGGCTCGCCAGGACCGACGTTCGCCACCCCTGGTCTAGACAATGAATATAAGACGACCGCGTTTTTTCAGACGTATTTCCAAGAAAAAAATACATTGTCGGGTCAATTATTATATGATTAGGGTTGCACAGAATGTTCGGCAACCGAAATTAATAAGCGAAAAGACCGAATAAATTGTATTGACGTGACGCTATCAAATAGCAACCAGCGTAAAGTGAGAGGTGCGCACTCTTTATAATGCAACAAACATGTCAGCAGTGTGGAAGCATTTAAACTGTCCAAGAAAGATACAAAAGTCATTACAAGCACAGACAGCGAGATACTGTTTAGTACTGCATCGCATGTCTTCGATGAGAAGAGAAAGGGGTGATTGTTGCTAGTTACTGTATGATGATTGAAATTGCGGAATGGCCTTAAACAATTAGTAAATAAATTGCAGAACGTTATGTTTTCTAATGCACGCATGAATTGTATGTATTCTGACAGCGCTGCACGAACCCGCGGTGGATCTGCTTGTTAACCAGGGTTCAAAGTCCAAAGTGCGAGGAAAATCTGCGCTGAAACAGTGTTACTCATCAGTTGCTCGTTCACATTTTTATGAATTTTTACAAGGCATGTGACAATGCAATACGTGCGATGTATCCGTAATGAGACTCATTTATAAATCTGCTGTCAACAAAAAGAAACATTGAGGTCTTCCTGCGCGTTTCCGCCAAAAACAAAAGTTGACAAAAAGCAAGAACTCCAACATTCATAAATGTTAGTATTGTAATTTTACTGCTTTTCTGTAAAATAAAATAAAAAGTAAGACAATAATAATGATAATAATTACATCAGCTCTGTTAATACATTTATTATAACATACACATAACATAACATTTAACATAGTGTTCAAATTGGGATCTGTACAATTTTCTAATGTTTTAAGTCTCTTCTGCTCAGCAAGGCTGCTTTTAATTTTACAGTAAAAAATACATGCCTGATTTAAGAAGGGGGTCTGATCGCCAAAGAATATTATTTTAGTAACTTATTTATTTTAATTTAAATTGTGCTTTGTTGGTATAATGTCTGCTAAAATGTTAAAAAATGTTTAGTGTTAAATATTTTTAAATTGTTGTTTTGTCATTAATTTTTTCTTTGAGAAACAAGACAAAACAGTAAAAAGCACATTTTGGCTATTTAATTTAATGCAATGATGAAAAAAAATTGTCAAAATACATGGGAAAAAACTTGAAAAACAGTTTCATTTTGTTCTGTTTCAGCTTTGGCCAAGAATTTTCATTTCGGTGCATCCCTAAAAATGATTTCTCACTGTTCATGATGCTCAAAATACTGGGAAAAAATTCTAAGTATTGGTTTGATATTAACGGTTTGGCTATATTAATAAAAATTTCAGTGGCATATTCTTTTTATTTTACTCATATAATGCCTGCTAAAGTAGAGTTTTTAAGCGCTGCACTGCTTTGTTTACAGCGGTAACCAAAGAAACGCTGTATTGCTGCTGTTTCATGAGCGCCACCTGCTGTCAGAGAGTCAATTTGCATCTTCATGCATTGTGTACATCAGTAGATTTTTTATTTATTGTTATTTTTATTATTATTATTTAACAAAACTAAAAGCAACTAATCAATATTTTAAGGTAATTACAGCAGATTTGCTTCACACAACATTCTGATGATTCATTTGTCTCCGCACACAGCTTCATAATCCAAATAACATCTTACGTCCCGTTATTATAAGTGAAAGTACTTCAGATCTTTTTCTTCATGTCCTGCAGCTGTGAGTCGGTGAAGGATGATGGTGTCTGTTGAAGAGCTGCTTGTGAACTCACTGAAGGAACTGGTAGAAGCTGAACTGAAGGAGTTTCAGTGGCACTTACAGAAAGATCATGAGAGTATATCAAAGTCTGACATGGAGAATGCAGATAGGTTAAAAACCGTGGATAAGATGGTGGTGTGTTTTGGACAAGAAGAAGCTTCGAAGATCACGGTCGGCATCCTGAGAAAGATGAACCAGAATGATCTGGCTGAACAGATGGAGAATGAATATAAGCAAGGTAACATTTAATTCACCATGACTGCAACATGATTAAATATTTACTTTTGACTTCAACCTTTTTTCATCTTTGTTCTGCTGATATTGTTGTGTGATAAATGTTTTCCAGTGAGTATTTCTCTTTCTCACAGCTCAGGCTGAGGGCAATATGAAGACATTTGTCCCTGTTGAAGCTGATTCAAAGCAGTGCTGGGGTAATTAACACACACTGCCTGTAAATGGAAACTAGAAAATATAACCGCAAGCAGCAATTACAGAGCCAGTCACATCAGCAGCCGATTTTATACAAATCTACAGAAAAGCCTTCATTAAAAATCTTATATTGCAGGCATATTCAAATGGCGGCGCGCGACAATGACAACGGTAGCACCAATTTACCATTTCTAGATAAAATTAGCAGTGTGTCAAAATAACAGAGCTGTACACACCTCAAGTGCACAGGGTAATTTTTTGTAATTATATTTTGGCATTATATAATATTTTTTATCTAGAGTCATTAACAGCGGTTATTTTAACAACAGTAGCAGAAACACGGTGAGCGGCAAAATACGTTATATTTGCAGCACTGTTGTTTTCTGCGAAAGTATCAGTTATTTTACCTATCATATATGACTCTGACAGTGCAAAGCAGGTTTTTGACTAAATTTTTTCATGTAGCCTACACTTTTAATCAGCATATTATGAGCAGTTTAAAAGCCCGTCCACACGAAGACTTATGATTAGAGAGCTCTCTTATTCAATTATTACTGGTAAAAATTCTAATTACAGAGCTCTCTAATTCTATTCTTACTAGTAACAATTCCAATTAGAGAGCTCTACAAATTAATTTTCCCTAGTCATATGTCCCAATTGACTTCCATTCGTTTTTAATTGTAGAGCTCTACAACTGAATTTTTACTCGTAAGAATTACAATTTGGGAGCTCTACAATTGAATTCTTACTAGTAACAATTCCAATTAGAGAGCTCTCTAAATCAATTTTTACTAGTAATAATTCCAATTAGTGAGCTCTCTAATTCAATGTTCACTAGTAACAATTCCAATTAGAGAGCTTTTAAATGTTATTCTTACTAGTAAAAATGCAAAAAATTATTACTAGTAAAAATGCAATGAATTGTTACTAGTAAGAATGCAATTGCCGAGCTCTCTAATTCAATTACATTGCTCTCTAATTTAATTGTTACTAGTAAGAATTGTATTAGAGAGCTCTCTAACTGTAATTCTTACTAGGAAGAATGTAGCTAAAGAGCTGTGGAATTGCATTCTTACTAGTAACAATTGCATTGTAGAGCTCTCTTTTCAGTGCGACCTCATTATGATAATTGCGCCTCATGCATATTCATAAAACAGCTCACTGTCTGTCCCGATAGCCTTGTGGGCAGTCCGTAGATAATGCCATTGCGCTACGGGTATCCTGAGTTTGAGTCTCGTGAGCTCGTGACCCCCTCCGATCCCGCACCCCTCCCCCCAATTCACTTACACTGTCAGAATAAAGGCAAAAACGCCAAAAATAAATCTTGGAAATGGGGACTCAAGCAGCTTGTTCATTCAAGCAGCTCTTAATGATGAATAGCAGCGCTGTGTCTCTAATGATCTCTTAAGTATTATTATATATTGATTAAAAGCATTATAAAATGATTATGTTTTACAGAGAAGAAATATAGGTAGTCTATGTAGCTACTGTAAGTTATTTTTAAAGGTGAATTCACACTTGCACAGAAAACATGCATAATGTATACTCAGCAATATGCATATTTAATTATTGGTTGTAAAATACCTGTTTTTGTTAAGCTTTGTAAGGGTTTTATTTAGGGCTGCACGATACATCGTTTTAGCATCGATATCGCGATGTGCGCATCTGCTATAGTCACATCGCAGGATGTGCCGGATGTTTAGTATACTGGTTGTTATATTTTACTGATATTTTACTTGTGTCAGTACGTCATAAAGGGATTTGTCGTGCCGCGCCACATTCAGTGTAGTCAGTCACACAGCATCACTGATTAAAATGGGTTCTATAGTATTTTGTCGCGCTGCACCGCTCGCGTCCAGTGTAGACACGGTGAGAGCCATGCAGATGCACGTGAACACTGATTTCTGTTCACTTCTGCGTCTATTTGTGCCTGAAATATGGTGCTCTGCAAGTATCCTTGTAAACACAGATGCTTATGGCTTAGGTGAAGGGAAACAATTGAGAAAGAAAATGGATGTGTAACAGTATATTGGTTCACAGCAGTTTAATGTTCCTGTTGCTTTCTCTGTCATGAACGTTAATCAAACAACAAAACACAAAGAAAACTCACTTTTGTAGCTTTAACACAGATTTATTAGATTTAATTTATAGTGAAAACTATGCAGTGTTATTTTACATTTGATTATTCAATTTCTGTACCTGAATACTGTTAGACTTACCTGAAAAATATAAAGCACTGCTTATTTCATTTGTATCTTTGTTCGGTTATTTGTCTATGCTTGTAATTTGTTTATTTCCTATTCTGATTTACTCGCCTACAAAATCACCCCAATTATAATTTTTTTCCAAATAGAGCTATTGAAGTCATCTGATTGATCACAATATACAGTATATCGCAGAAAAAAAAATATTGCAATGTGAGTTTTTTCCAATATCGTTCAGCCCTAGTTTTATTCTCATTATCCACTCACACAATAATGCTGAGGCTGGGTCCTGTACTGTTACAGAAGCATGATGAAGCTTATTAGAATGCAGTTAGAATGGCTCAATACTTGTGAGGGCAAAAATATCCCTGTATGAGTATTTGTTTTTTATATTTATAACATCATATATAATTAAGTAATGTCACACAAGCAAGAGTGCTGTTTTCCAAACATCAGCGCACGAGAATGATCGTGAATGTGATGTTGATTTTATGCAGTTCAACAACCAAGAAATTAATACAAGTGAGTTACATTTTGGACACAATATTGTCTGTTTTTGTTTCACCAACAAAATAGTTCCAAACAAAGCCTGAGAAGAACTGTTGTGCGTCTCAGAGAAACATGTTTCGTACTTGCATGAATCTGTGTTTTTAAATGAATCACTCAGTAAGACAGAGTCGTGCTGCCACCTACTGTCCAAAACCAGCCACAGTTCCAGCACAAAAACACACTCAGCAAAATATCACCTAATTAAAGCGTTAGTTAAAAAAATTTAAATTAGCCAATCAATTACTCACCCTCAAATCATCCTAGGTGTATATGACTTTCTTCTTTCAGACGAATCCAGTCGGAGTTATATAAAAAATTGTCTTTGATCTTTCAAGCTGTTTAATGCCACTCAGCGGGTGTTGCATGCATCAGTGCAAAATAAGTTAAATAAAAAGCGCCCATCCATAACAAAAGTGTCTCACATGGCTCCGGGGGGTAAACAAAGGCCTCCTGTAGTGAATCGATGCGATTTTGTATGAAAAATATCCATATTCAAAACATAAAAATCACTTTAATGTAGCGTGCGCCAACAGTTGTACACAGAAGCAGCTCCGGGCGGATGATGTAAGATGTTGGTGTTGCACATCTAGTAAGAATTTTATTGTAGAGCTCTCTAATTGAATTCTTATTAGTAAGAATGTAATTGCTCTTTCTAAGAGATCTTCTTTCCAGATTGGTGAGTTTTGTGGATCTCTGCAAAGGACACCTCCTTGCCCAATCTTCTCCCCTCACTTATCCTGAACCCCCTCTCCCTCTTGCTCTATAATAACTATTTGCCTAGTTATTAGCATACTTTTAGCCTTACCCTGCAGTTGGATGATGCTCAGTCTATGTACCTGAGTGAGAGACTAGGCTAGCACACTCCGAGTCCCGACCAGGTTAATTGACTCACACATTGACATGACACTGATATGCAATGCAAATGAGCGGTAAACCCGACTGCGAAATCTTTTTCTTTTTTTCTTGTACGGGCACCCCGTGCCGCCCCTGGCAAGATGTCGCCCATACCTAAATCCCCCACTGATTCTGGTCTGGGTATTTAAGTGAAAGTAGCTAAACATTAAGTCAGTAGATTAAGTGGAATCTGGTATTTCAGCAAATCTGCATCCAGGAAAGGTCAAACTGAAGGCCCAGTGAATCTGGTACATCATGTGGGACCTTTTGATTTCTGCCTATGACTGACTTAGCAAGTTGCAGCTGTGTGACTAAAGAAGCTACACTTTTTGTATACTTTTGTACTTTTTGTGGCAGCCGAATTAAAGGTATTAGTTCACTCTGCATCCTCTGATTAAACTCAGAACTGGCGAGTTTGTGATCGTGAGACCCACGCCGGCCATGCAAGGCTTTAAGCCAGGGGTGTCAAACTCAGTTCCTGGATGGCCAAAGCCCAGCCCAGTTTAGATTCAGCCCTACTTAGTTCCTGGATGGCCAAAGCCCAGCACAGTTTAGATTCAACCCTACTTAAACACACCTGATCCAGCTAATCAAGTCATTTAGGCTTATTTGAAAACTACATGGTTTGCATGTTGGAGCAGGGCTGGAACTAAACTCTGCAGGGCAGCGGCCCCCCAGGAATTGAGTTTGACACCTGTGCTCTAAGCGATGCTGGGTCCCAAATGACGCATAATTGAAAACAGTATATCCAGAATTAGGCCTGGGCGATAAAACGGTATCGATATTTATCAACTGTACACCTTCTTCGATATCGATATAAAAAATGTTCGATATAGCGCATGATATAGGCACGTGCTATGAGTGACGCGGACAACACACAAACACAAACACATGCTGAAATGAGTGCTGTGCCTGCCTGTGATGAGGAGATTGTGAATAAAGAATGAACATTAGTCGAATTTAAAATAAACATTTGCATTTGAATGTTAGGTGTGCATCAGGGAGCGTCATCAGTGGTGCGCGAGATGCGGTGATGTAAGTGACGTTGCATTTTAATGTTTTGTTAGTCTAGTCCACTAGATGCGCCGCTGCTGTGTTATGCATTCAAAATATTAGCGAAATATAGAAGCTCAATGTGGAGAATATCTTGAATGGGTTAAAACTGAAACCAAGCCATTCACACAGAACGCATATTCGGCGCATTTTTAGACGGACAAATACGACTGCTGCACTCGCATCTCACACAAGAGATGTATAGAAAGCCATGCAAAGTTAAAACAGTTTAAACTTTTAGAAAACACGTCACACGTCACAAAAAAAAAAAAAAAAACTTCAGAAATTGTAAAAAAATTTAAACCAAGTTGTTAGGGATATACATAGTTGTTTTCAGCAGTATTCATTTAATCTCTCTGCACTAGTAATTAATAATGACGATAATGCTGATATGGAAAAATATGTCAAATTTGTTTAATGCTTTTTGTCAATTTTATTTATTTGTTTTTAATTATAGAGCTCCAACACTTTATAAAAACTCACAAAACCAACATGAAGAAGAAAGCAGAATATAGTTTTGAGGGCGACAAAGAAAATGACACCGATCTCATGGCTGTTTACACAGAACTGTTCATCACAGAGGGAGATATGAAAGATGTCAATCAAGAGCATGAGATTCTGAAGATTGATGATGTTTTCAAGAGCAAAAAAACAAAGGACAAACCAATCAAATGCAATGATATATTTACTGAGTTGAGGAAAAACAAAGAAAAAAAGACTGTGCTGACCAAGGGAGTCGCAGGCATTGGAAAAACTGTCTCTGTGCACAAGTTCATCCTGGACTGGGCAGAAGGAAAAGCCAATCAGGAAATAGACTGTATGTTCCTGCTTCCATTCAGAGAGATCAACTTAATGACAAATGAAGATTTCAGTCTCCATGAGCTTCTGCTGGAATTTTATCCTGAACTGAAGGATCTGGAGAAATCAAAATTATATAAGGAATGTAAGCTAGCATTTATATTTGATGGACTTGATGAGAGTCTCCTGTCTCTGAATTTTAAAAGTAGGCTACTGAACAATGTTGAGAAAAAATCATCTGTAGATGTGCTGTTTACAAATCTAGTCAAAGGGAATCTTCTTCCATCAGCTCTTGTCTGGGTGACCTCACGACCAGCAGCAGCCAATCAGATCCCTCGTCGGTATGTAGGTTTGTTCACAGAGGTGCGAGGATTCACTGATCAACAGAAGGAGGAGTACTTCAGAAAGAGAATCACAGATGAGACTCAAGCCTCCAGAATCATCTCACACATTAAGATGTCTCGTAGTCTCTACATCATGTGCCACATTCCTGTGTTCTGCTGGATCACGGCCTCAGTACTTGAGAATATTCTCATTGAAAACAATGAAGAGAACATCAGCACAACACTCACTGAAATGTACATTCACTTCCTGCTGATTGAGATGAACATGAAGAACCAGAAGTACGATGAACAAGAAGAAAGAGAATGTATAAAGCTTTTGTATTCAAACAGAACAATGATTTTGAAGTTAGCCAAGCTAGCATTTGAACAGCTGAAGAAAGAACGCATTGTGTTCTATGAGAAAGATTTGAAAGCATGTGGCATTAATGTGAGTAAAGACTCTGAGTTTACAGGAATGATCGCTGAGATCTTTAAGAAGGAATATGGAATTTTTGAGAAGAAGGTCTTCTATTTTGTGCATCTGAGTGTTCAAGACTTCCTCGCTGCAGTGCATGTGTTCCTCTGCTACCTGAACAAGAACATGCAGGAACTTCAGTTTTTCTTTGATGAGCCAAAACAAAATGTCACATTGGAGGAGTTACTGCAGAAGGCCATTGATAAAGCCATGAAGAGTGAGAGAGGACATCTGGATTGGTTCCTGCGGTTTCTAATGGGCATTTCACTGGAATCCAGTCAAAATCTGCTCGAAGGCCTGATCACACACACTGAAGACACCACAGAGAGCATCAGACAAACAACTGAATACATTAAACGAGTAAAAAATAAGTATGGTATCTCAGGTGAAGCTTCAGTCAACCTATTCTACTGCTTACTTGAACTCAAGGATCATTCATTATATGAGGAAATCCAGAGATACCTCAGTTCAGATGCACATCCAGGAAGAGACCTCTCATCTTCAATGTGCACAGTGCTGACCTACATACTGCTGATGTCAGAGAAGGTGCTGGATGAGTTCAACCCAAAGAGGTTCACATCATCACAAGCAGACCACAAGAAACTTGTTCCAGCTGTGAGATCCTGCAGAAAAGCCCTGTGAGTAATTTTATTGACTGCTGTTCAATCAAACATTTGTTCTACATCACTAAATAATTAAATGTGAAAATACTATGTGAAATATTTCCATGTCCCAATTATGAAGAGTACAATAAGTTATTGCAGACACTGAACATCATAAAATAATCTGGCTAAACATCTGGCAGATTTGATGGCTGTGGTCTTGATGAAACATGCTGTGAAACTCTGTCTTCTGCTCTACAATCGTCAAACTCCTACCTGACAGAGCTGGGCCTGAGTAACAATCACCTGCAGGATTCAGGAGTGAAGCTGCTGTCTGATGGACTGAAGAGTTCACACTGTCAACTGAAAATACTGAGGTTTCACTTTCACTGTATCACTATGTTCAAATATGTTGATGAATAAGTGTTTAATCGATAAGACTGGCATAAAGTTGTCTTGACATTGGACGTACAATATTCACAAATTTAGGGACAGTCTCTAAAGTTGCGTACGACATTGGTATACACGTTTCTAACTTAAATAGCATTTGAAGATCTAAAAGGTGTGCATCATACCTGACACCTAGACAAACACTTTAGAGTTGTTCGAATAACTGTTAGAGTTATTCTCTGCAAATGCTGTTGAAGTTAGAAACGCGGCCATGACGGGGCAAGACTCTGGAACAGCGGCCATGACGGGGCGAGACTCTGGAACGGCAGCCATGTTGTGTAAAGTCTCTGGGATGGCAGCCATTTTGTGAACAGTCTCTGGACTGGCAGTCATTTTGTGGAGAGGCTCTGTTATGTGGGTTACTGCGGAAGTGCTGTGCTGCTCCTCTACAGCTTCCACAGTAAGAGCAGAGCCACTCAGCTGCAGTGCAAGGTCAATATATTATGCCAGCGTCCAGTCAGGGTACCACAATGGCATACACAAAATGAGTGGCTCTGATAACCCTCCCCAAAAAAATGCTGTGGCAAGGGGGGCGTGATTCAGCGAGGTCTGCAGCGGGAGAGAGAGTTGGGAGACGAGCGGTGAGTAAGTGGGTAAAATGCAAATGATAAACACCTGTGTCTAATTGGCGTGGAGAGACCGCATAAAGAGACCCGGGAATGAGAAGGTAGGCAGAGAGGGACTAAATAGTCCACCAGCAGCAGTCAAGCTGACCCCATCCTCTTCCTTCTTCATCATTGACTTTGTTACACTGGTGCCGAAACTCCGGAAGGAAGCAGGAGAGCCGCCGCCATCATGCAAACTCCGACAAGTACGCCATGTCATGTCACCTTGCGGATGTCATCTCATCCCTCGCGGTCCTCCATCAAGAAAAACACCAAGCGTTACTGGATATGCGGCGTGACCAGGAGCGTCGCTTCCAGGGCATTATCCAGGCACAACAGGAGGACTGTGAGAGGTTCCGGAGCTGGATGGACCGGGAGGTTCGGGCAGAAGCAGCAGCTCAGCAGACCCCGGCCCCCCACCTGCCGCTGAACAAGATGGGGGCTCAGGATGACCCTGAAGCCTTCCTGGATCTGTTTGAAAAAACAGCAGAAACCGGTGGGTGGCCACAAGAGCAATGGCCGATGCGCCTGATACCGCTGTTGTCAGGGGAAGCGCAGTTGGCTGCTCAGCAATTGCCCGTACAGAAACTCCTGGTCTTCGACGACCTCAAAAGAGCCATCATCCAGCGGGTCGAAGCCCCAGGCAACATTGCCTGGGTGAGAGTGGCCGACCCTTCTTGATAGCAAAACGACTCCGGGACTCATGTTGCAAATAGCTACTGGCTGAGGGAAGCGACGTCAAGCACATCACCGACCGTGTGGTACTGAAGCAGTTCATCACTCTGCTGCCAAAGAAGACAGCAGAGTGGGTCCAGTGCCACTGACCGGGCATTCGTGAGAACCTGCGCAGGTGGTGTGTGTCTTGTCGTGAATGTCAGCTGGTAAATCCACCGGCCTCCCCAAAAGCGCCTTTGCGCTATCCCGAGGCAGTGACGCTCCGATGCATCTCCGCCAAAAGTGTTGTGGACACACTGTTTCAATTAATCTCCCGAGTGGGCATTCCGAGAGAGATTCTCTCTGACCAAGGCACGGCATTTATGTCTTGTACATTGGTGCGAATGGACTTAATGCCCAATAATTCATACAGTTCGCGTAGTGTCTATCACCCACAAACGGACAGACTGGTGGAACGATTTAATCGCACTTTAAAAACCATGATTCGTAAGTTCGTTCACAAGGATGCCAAAAATTGGGAGAAATGGTCCCGCAAGCCTCTACGGGGTTTTCCCCCTTTGAGCTTCTTTATGGACATCAGCCACGAGGGGTTTTAGACGTCCTGAGAGAAACTTGGCAGGACGGACCTTCTCAAAGTAAAAATTAAATTCAATATGTAATGGATCCGAGAACAAAACTCCATACTTTGGGGCGGCTATCTATGGAGAATTTGTTACAGGCTCAGGACAAACAAAGCCGGCTGTACAACAGGGGAACCAGCTTAAGAAAATATCCAATGGCGCAAATTGACGAATTGCTTGATCGGCTGGGCACAGCTCGTTTTTGTTCGACACTGGATTTAACAAAAGGATATAGGCAGATCCCCTTATCGCCTGTATCTAAAGAAAAGACAGCCTTCACAACACCATTTGGATTGCACCAATTCGGTACACTTCTGTTTGGGTTGTTCGGGGCGCCGGCCAATTTTCAGCAACTCATGGACCATATTCTCCGGCCCCATGCTGTATATGCCGCTGCCTGTTTAGATGACATCATCTATAGCAATGAAACATTATGGAGCATTTGCGGGCTGTTCTGAGAGCGCTGAAAGTGGCCGGACTCACGGCCAACCCAAAGAAGTGTGTGGTTGGGCGTGTGGAGGTCAGGTTTCTAGGCTTTCACTTGGGTCGCGGACAAGTGCGTCCCCAAATTAGTAAGACGGCAGCGGTTGCAACTTGTCCGAGACCTAAGACCAAAAAGGAAGTGAGACAGTTCCTAGGGCTGGCAGGATATTATAGAAGGTTTGTGCCTAATTATTCGGACTTCACCAGCCCTCTGATTGATCTCACTAAAAAGGAAGCACCAGATCCAGTCCAGTGGACAGAACTGTGTCAGCAGGCTTTTACCCAAGTAAAGGCTGCTCTGTGTGGCGGACCACTATTACATTCTCCTGACTTTTCTCTCCCCTTCTTGTTGCAGACTGATGCATCGGACAGAGGGCTGGGTGCAGTCCTGTCCCAGGAGATAGAGGGAGAGGAGCGGCCGGTGCTGTACATTAGTCGCAAGAGACTAAGTACAGCACCATAGAGAAGGAGCGTTTGGCCATCAGGTGGGCTGTCCTCATTATCCGATATTATCTTCTGGGACAGGAATTCACTCTCTGTTTGGACCATGCCCCTCTGCAGTGGCTCCACCGCATAAAGGATACCAACGGTCGGATCACTCTTTGGTATCTGGCTTTGCAGCCTTTTAAATTCTAGGTGGTCCACAGACCGGGTGTACAGATGGCTGTGGCTGACTTCCTCTCCAGGGGGTGGGGGTATGTGACGAGGGGGGCATGGTTCAGCGAGGTCTGCAGCTGGAGAGAGAGTTGGGAGACGAGCAAGTAAATGAAGGCAACAGACAGATGTCGGCTGTAGTCTATGCTGTGTGTTCAAGCGCAGCTCTTTGGTCCAGACGCTGACGACGCAAGGCAACAATACCATCGGCTTTCAATGCTGCTAGTTCTTTGAAGTCTGCTTGGTGTATCCCAGCCTTTAATTGCATGGGCTTTCTCCAAAACTTTCTGTATCATTTTTTGTTTGCTTCCCCATTGCAAGGGGAAATCCTGTTGGCACAGTGAAAAAACAAGAGAATAAAAAATGTAAAACTTATTTTTTCTTGTTTTGAATGAATGCATGGAGTAATTGTTTTTTTTAATGCATCATAAATTTATTTTTCTTACATTTCTTTCCCCTTTTGACTTTTCTTTTTCTGTCAACATGTCAGCTTTTAGAATTGTCACTGTTTACATAGAATCAGTTTGCTTTAGATCTACAGTGATCAAAATTAAATAAAGATTTATGAACACTTGATTCTTTTCAGAAATAATGTAATCTTCATCGTTCAAAATTAGATGTTGTGTTAGTTCGGTGACATAACTTTTTTTGTCCCCAAGGATTTTCCAGAGATTTAGGTCGGATTTAGATCAGGACTCTGGGCTGGTCATTTCATTATTTCAATGTTTTCAGCTGATAGGGGGTATTGTCCTGAATGAAAATTGCAGGCTGATTGGGCGATGAACGCAGGAAAGGAACTGCTTGTTGCCGTAGGAGGTTATGATAAACATTTGCATTTATTCTGCCATGTATCTGTATAAAAGGCCCATGCTGCTGCAGAAAACATCCCCCAAACCATGACACTTCCTCCTCCACCTTTCACTGACTTCTTTACACACTTTGGATTCAGTCTGACTGAAAATAGACTGAAATAAATTAAACTTGCTTTCATCACTGAAGTGAAATTCGGACCAGTTCTTCTCTGTTCTCACAACATGCTTCTCAGCAAAGGTTAGTCTAGCCTTTTGATTCTTTCTGCTAATGAGAGCTTTAATCACTGGAGAGTGGGCTTTTAGTCTAAATTCTCTTAAACATCAAGACACTGTATGCCGAGACAGATCATTACCCTGTTCAGTGCTGAACTTGCGAGCAATTCCAGCTGCAGTGTTGAACCGATTACCCATTGAGATTCTCCGTATTACACTGTCCTCTTGTGCATTTGTCTTTCGTGGATGACCAGCCTTTTTGGGGGACTTGAATAAGTTAGGGACATTGTTAACATGCAATATTCTAGAAATCACAGATTTGGAACAACCAACTTCTCTTACAGTGGCTGAAAGGGTAATTCCTTTGGCCTTCATTTGGACAATCTCCTTTCGGAAAGTTTCAGTCACTTTAGAACGGCTCACCATCTTGCAAAATCAGTGAAAACCGGAAAGTTAGGCTGTCAGTTAAATATGGTTTGTTAGATAATTAAGGAAATTAGCACCAGGTGCCAGATTAACACCAATAACTGTGCCTCAGAATATATTTAACTCATGAAATATGCATAAAAACAGCTGCTTTCTGTGCGTGTGCTTTGGATGTGTGCGCTCAGAAAACCATATATCAGAAGTTTAAACTATTGTGACTTTAAAACGCATGATTTCAGCGCGATAGACATGATAATCAAAACCAAACATGTTTTTGGCAGAGTATCTGAAGTACAAGCTGTAAAGGCACAGCCCTATTCTGGAAAATGGGACAGGGAGGGAGCAGCAGCTCATTTGCATTTAAAGAGACATGCACAAAAACAGCGTGTTTCTGGTTCCACTCAAAATAGGCATTTTCAAAATGATATAATAAATTATCTGTGGGGTATTTTGAGCTGAAACTTCACAGAAACATTCTGTGGACACCTGAGACTTATATTACATATACATATATTACATAACTGTTTTTTTATGTTATCTTTTATGTTATCTACCTCTGTACTTTCTTTAAATGAAATAAAATTTTCTTATGTATGTTTTTTTTTTTTTTACATTTTAAATCTAATCTAAATATACTTTAAATTATAAATATACACTTGTTATTTTTCAAGCATTTTGAGTTACTGTTTGATTAAATAAGTTGTAGGCTATAATGGGATTTGTGTCAAATTCAGAATTCCGTCACCATAAAAAAAATAAAATAATCTGGTTCATTTTAGACCCATCAGAACAAACCCACAATGTAAAAAATGCTAGTTTTGTTAGAAGGCAATGAGGTACAATGGATAACATTTAAAAAATAATTACAAATAAAATATACACTTTAGTTAATTCTCAAGAATTTTTAATAACTTTGATTAAAAAGGTTTAGGCTATAATGGGATTTGTGTCAAATTCAGGATCATCACTCAGCTGATGTAGTTTTTTGATTTAGCCCAGCTCTAACTGGAATAGATAAAGGAAATCAACTCACTAGTATCAAACTGTGCACTGGTAGGTTTAGGGCCTCTTGCTCTTGACGAAGTTTCTTCTTTTTTTGGACAGGTGTGGGCAAATGCAACCACTAAATTTTGACACAACCCCATGGCCCTGGTTGTCCTCTCCTTTTTTGGCTGACATTGTGCTTGTGAAGGCCAGGTTAAGATTGTGGCCAAAAGAATTCAGCCATGGCCTAAACTTCTTAACAGCAACTTCTTAACCTATCTGATAAATTCACATAAATATGACTGTTTTGTTCTCTTAACAGGCTGTATGGGTGTAATCTCACTTCTCAGTCCTGTAAAAGTTTGTCTTCAGTTCTACAATCCTCAAACTCTGTCCTGAGAGAGCTGGACCTGAGTAACAATGACCTGCAGGATTCCGGAGTGAAGCTTCTTTCTGATGGACTGAAGAACTGTAAGCTGGAGATTCTGAGGTTTGAATTTCATATACTTGACTGATTTTTTTGCATTGTTAATTACTAAAATCACACTGCTAAGATTTATTCTGTATGCAATTACTGTTTTTCTTGTTCAGATTTTCCATCTGTAATCTCACTGCTCAGTCTTGTGGGAGTTTGTCATCAGTTTTACAATCATCAAACTCTGTCCTGAGAGAGCTGGACCTGAGTAACAATGACCTGCAGGATTCTGGAGTGAAGCTGCTTTCTGATGGACTGAAGAGTCCAAACTGTCAGCTGGAGATTCTGAGGTAAATGGTTTTCCATAAAATTATTAACCAAATGTTACCAAAATAAATTACCATTGAATTTTGTCAATAAATGTTGCATCTGCTCTCAATAATCAAAAGACAAAAACATCATTTGCAGACATTTAATTTTTCTTATTTATACAGATGTCTGTAGATATGGATTGTATTAAGATTGAAATAGCAAAATGGCCTGAAACAATTACAAAAAAAACAGCAAAACTTCTGCATTTTCAAAGATGAGCATATGCTAGCTCATGCATATGGAGGACCAAGAGAACCACTTAAAAATAAAATGAAGAATCAATTTATCAATTTAATAATTTAAACATAAAAATGTATATAAATAAACCACTTTTAAATGGACAAATTAAAACATATGGGGTTAGATATATAGCAATGGTTAGTTGCTCGAGTCCTTTTAGTGTCATTTAGATGCATATTCACATGGAAATGACGTTTCTTTGGCATTCTGTGGACGTAAGGATATGTTCTGTAAGGAATTTCCGACAGTCTGTTCTTTGTCGTGAAGTGGGGGAAGTCAATTTGAAGCTTGTGATCACTGCTAATGCCTGATTTATGACATCCTGTTGTCTTGGGCCTCTGTGGAATTTTTGTGACTCCTCGTGCCTCAACTCGGTTTTGACCAAATCTTAGATTGTCTGATTCGGTCTGATATCCTACAGATGTTTATTCAATTAGTGTTTTTAAATGTAGTTTAATAAAACAATAAAACAACACATTTAAAAAAATCATCTTTAAATGTATATATAAATAGACAAATTTAAGGCTACTTATTTAATTCATGTTTTAAAACGTAGATTAATAAAACAGTAAAAAGAACATTAATAAATCATTTCAATTTCCATCGTGTTTCTCTCCGTGTTCATAAAACACATGCCGTGACTTAGAGATGAGATACTCAGCCTGCCGCGTTGATAGGAGATCAAACTCGGTCTGCAATAATATACGCTTTTTCATTATATCTGCAGAGGGTGTATGACTATTTAGCCTGTCTAGCTTCAGTATTTCATCCATCAGCTCTTTAAGGCGTGCAGAATTGTTTTTATTTTTATTTGCACAATATGAGATTATCTGGCCCCGTAAGTATGACTTTAGCGACTCCCATAGAGTTAAAGAAGACATCCCGGGTGTTTGATTGATCTCAAGGAATGATGTAATCTCAGAAGAGATTAATTTAGTAAAAGCTTCTTCTGAAAGGAGCAGAGAGTTGAGTCTCTAAGGGCGGTAACTGGACTGTATGTTAGGGATATACATTTTCATAATTAGAAGACCATGATCTGAAATTACTATGGTTCCGTAATCGCAATTAGTAACGAGGGGAAGGAGTCTTTTATCCAGGAAGAAATTAACTATACAGGAGTAGGTCTTATGGACAGGGGAGAAGAAAGAGTATTCTCTGGATGTAGGATTGCGAAACCGCCATACGTAGGCAATACCATAAGTCCCCTTTCGGGCTCTGTCTTTACATTTATTTTGAAAGATGAAGCTCGCGATTATGGTAAGGGGCGTTACATTTCCGACGAGTGCTATGCGGTGTTCGGCCAATCACAATGCACTGGGTCAGCTGGCCAATCAGAGCAGACTGCGCTTGTCGGAAGGAGGGACTTTGTAGAAAACGAAGCGTTTAAGAGAGGCGGGCCATAGAGGACCTACAATAATGTACAGTATTTGAAAAATAATGTGTTTTTTGAACATTAAAGCATGTCAACATATTCTGTTACACCAAATACAAAAAGTAATGATCTTTAAAAAAGCATCATATGACCCCTTTAAGAAATCGAATGCGCTGATTTAGACAGGGAGGTCTTTTTGGGTGAACTGCGGTCTAAGACAGGGGAGAGTAAACAATTTGTGTCACCACCATGATTGGTGGTGTCCCAGTTTGGAGCATAAATGTTAGCCAAGATGACTGGTAAAGAATAAAGCTGCCCCACCACAATAACATAACGCCCTGATGGGTCAGCCTCTACACTAATCATAGTAAATGGTGTGTTTTTATTAATAAGTATGGCTGCCTCTCTAGCTTTTGAATGGAAATTGGAGTGATATATCTGTCCTGTCCAACACCCTCTCGAAAGTCGAAAATGATCCGTTGTACATAGATGGGTCTCTTGGAGGTATGCGATATCTACATTAAGTTGTTTGAAATGTGCAAATACCTTTTTACGTTTCACTGGATTGTTAAGTGATTTAACATTCCAACTCATGAAGTTGACTGAGGAGCCCTCCACCCCTCTGGAAGAATTAGTGTCAATCATGTTAAGGGGAAATAATTGTATATATGAAACATAAAAGTCACAACATGGCAACAAATGAAAATTAAAACGGACATCTGTCAGATGTCCCCCTAACACCCACAAGAACAAGATAAGCACAATACCCCTCCAAAGCAAATCCACACATTAAGTGTTTGCGTTAAGGAACTCTTCAGAGCCAACGGCTTAGGCTCCCGCCAAACCCTCCATGTTAAGGTAAACAGTGCATTGTGCAATTATATCATATCATAAACTCTGCTGCATAAGACAGTATTAATAATAATAATAAATTTTTTTTAAATAATAATAATAATAAGCCTGATGACAATGACAAAAGCAATGACAATATTATATGCTTCCCTCAAGATGTAGCCGAGCATCACAAGCTCATATCTTAAGGTGACCAAAATTATTTATCAAGAAAATCAAATAAATAGGAGGAGGACAGGAAGCTTTAACAGTGCACTTATAACAGTAACTGGTGATATTAACATCTGCAGCAAAACTATTTAAATAAATATCGTCCTGTCAAAAGTTGCCCTTGAGATGAGTCAGAACATCATTTGAGCATGACTGAGTAACACAATCCTACCCCCATGGCAAGAGCTAAAGAAAATATAAACAAATTATTGCTCCACTGGGGCAAGTTTTAAATTGAAATAACGTGTATACACAGAACTCAAGTCTCTCAGTTACTTTCAAGTCTCTGTAGGTATGATGTTCTTCTTGACGAAGCTCATCGCTTCATCTGCATCTGTGAATTCTTTTACTTTACCATCATATGAGAGATGCGTAGTCGGGCTGGGAATAGGATGCCAAACCGGACGCCTTGACGATTACGCAACAGTTTCTGAACCTCCGTGAACGCTGCCCTGGCCTTGGCAACGCTTGCAGTATAGTCTGGAAAGATGACGATCGATTCCACGTTAAATCTCAGAGCGGGGCCCAACTGCGTGCACATCTCAGCACCTCGACACAGTCTTGGTAATAATAAAGTTTAGCCACGATGGCGCGTGGCTTCCTATCTGGGCCTCTTGGTGCAAGACTTCTGTGCGAACGGTCAACGAGTACATCCTTTTCCAGCTGTAGCGATTCTCTCAGTAGCCTCGAAACCGACACAGTAGAACTTGATCCATCCATCTCAGCTACCCCCAGTATCCTAATGTTGCACCTTCTCATCCTTCCCTCCATGTCTTCACATTTTCCTCTCAGCACAGTCACCTCTGCTTTCAAATCGGATACCACAGACTGCAAGGTTGTCACTTCGTCTGACCACGTTGATAGCCCGCCTTGCACTTCTTTAATCGTAGCTTTCATTTGGTCTATCTCAGAATGAATCGCCACCCTATTGTTTATTATTTCCAATTGAACCGCTTGTATTTCATTTTTAAGGGAACTGAAATCATCGGCAAGAGCACTTTTCAGTTCGGATTTTATCACCTCCGAGATGTCTGCTTTTAGTGCGTGAATAATATCTGATTTCAAGGCTGTCGCGTCCATCTTCTCTCGACTGTCCAGCGGGGGTGGGGTCGTTCGCGATCGCGATACTATATGCTTCCCTCAAGATGTAGCCGAGCATCACAAGCTCATATCTAAAGGTGACCAAAATTATTTATCAAGAAAAACAAATAAATAGGAGGACAGGAAGCTTTAACAGTGCACTTATAACAGTAACTGGTGATATTAGAATTTCAGAATTATTTGGGTGCATCAGGCATGCAACAGTATAAAGTAATAACGAATAAGTAAATAAATGGATACAACGAATGGGACATAAATGGATAAAACGAGTGGGACAGCGAGCAAAATTAGCAGCCAGGCCAACAGTTTTTCATTTCATCCGCTGCTCCTGATGGCCAGTCAGAACCTGCCTTAAATTTAGCACAGTTATAATCATAAAAATGATGGCACTTTGTCTGAAAAATGTTGGTGTTAAAAAACAGTAACACTTTATGTTAAGGTGTCCTTGTTACACGTATTTACTATTATAATAATGATTAATTATGCATAATTACATTCAAGTGACCCTAAGCCAAACCCGAATCCTAACCCTAACCATATAGTAAGTACATGTAATTCATTCATATTACTTAGTACTTAAATGTATAATTACACTGTAACAAGAACACCTTAAAATAAAGTGTAACTTAAACTACTATCAAAGTCCACGCAGTATAAAACAGCTTCCAGAAATGATGTAAAACTGTCCCTGGCCACACCCGTGCTAATGGTACTGCCCACAGTGCAAATATAAGGGTGCGTTCACACTTGTAGTTTGGTTCAGTGAATGATTTTGATCATTCACAATCTAATTTCGCACAACCCTAATTTAATGTGTTTGGGTGTGTCAGATGGCAAATATAACTACTGTAGAGCATCAAAATAAATAAATACATACGTGAATGAATAAATAATCTGCCAATCACCATTATTTATCATTCACCTTATATAAACTAGCTTACTAACTTCTGAAACTCCAGTGTAAATGTTATTCTCACAAAAGTTGGATACTCTCACATGTTTAACAGTGTTCATTTGACTAAACTGCCAGCTGAACTCATTTAAAAGAACATGAAGGAACATGAAGCAAGGAATTTATCTGATAAAAAAGATTGAGGAAGAGCAAAGCAGTTCCTGCATGAGGGTTACTGTGTGTTGATATTCATCTTGTTCTCCACAGGTAGTGTTGTTTTAAAGGCAAAAGGCATCTGTTTGTTGTCCACAAAATCCTGATTACTTTGAAATTAAAAACTTTCCACATGTGGTGTTATTTAATAGCAACCCCTCGTTCAGATTATCAGGACATTTTCATACACATTTACGTCAGCATTAAGCCTGATATTGCATCCTCTGCAGCAGCTCTTTCTCACTGTGTGAATGAAAAAACAGCAACATCATTTTTTATAAGACTGAGGTCTTATTCATTGGCAGCTACTAGAAGTGTAAACGGGTTAAACTGATAATAGATGATAAACAGATTCTTCCTTCTACTGTGATAAAAGGCAGATTTGAAACAATGCCAAGATCACATGCCTGACTAGAAGTACTGCCAGGAATAGGCCATATCTATCCACTTTTTTCCCCCCCGTAAGATTTTAAATTTGTACAAACAGCCATTTGTAAATTTTATGGGTCTGGCTTCAGGTGTCATCTGCTTCCAGCCATTTTTAGCTGTACAAAACAGCTTTTTTGCTGCTTGATATGGCAAAATGTTGTGTCTTACCATATTACTTTAATGTATTATCTTAATTATGAACACATTGGTTTGTAGTTTACCATTTACTGCATGTTGTTATTCTTCTTCCGCGTTGAAAAATAATGTGGGTATATCTCGTTTCTGTCTCTTTGTATCTGTTTTTGCTGGCTAAATCTATTAAGAGACTTTAATACATTCAAAACTGAGCCACTTAACCCTCCTAACAACAAACAGAACATTTATTTAATGACCTGTCATATTCTGCACACCCATAACACCGCATAAATCAATTCATGCACTTGCTTTATTTTATGTCCTGCTGTACTTATGTAAGGTTGGTCACACACTTGAAGATTTTAAGCCTGATTTTGGCCCCGATTTACACCCCTGAAAGGTGGGAAGTGGCCTGATTTTAGGCTTGTCGCAACTGACTTTTTGTCCAAAAAAATCTCTATTGTGTGGTGTCATTACGATTATTTTACTGCTCCTGATCGCATCGGAGCCACCACAATCCCAAATAGTAAATATCAAAAATGTTTGATATTTACGACACTTGATAGGGCTGCCACTGATGTGATGATACCCATGATAGCTAATGAGAGTGAGCAAGCGTCACCTACCGGATGTTGCGTGCTTCTATATCTGAAACTTGGCAGCCACAAAAGTGCAGTTTTAAGAAGGAATATTACCCATATTCTTTTTTTATACTTTGTTTTTCACTGTGAAACAGAACGGAGCCACAAACAGAGCCCGCTGACAATGTCAATTGTCCTCCATGTGTTTTTCTTCTCTAGTCACGTTTGATCTTGCGAGTCTCCGTGAGATCTCATGTCACTGTGAAATCGTTCCTACAATCAACAAATGTGCGGTCTTACAGTCTGGTTGAATCATCTAGGGCAGGGATGGGCAACTTCAGTCCTGGAGGGCTACTGTCCTGCAGAGTTTAGCTCCAACCCTAATCAAACACACCTGAACAAGCTAATCAATGTCTTCAAGATCACTAGAAGGCTACATGCACGTGTGTTTGATTAGGGTTGGAGCTAAACTCTGCAGAACAGTGGCCCTCCAGGACCGCAGTTGCCCAGCCCTGATCTAGTGTGTGTTCAGAGGGTTAAAATGTTAAAAATTGGTTGGAACTGTCATTATTTCTGTGGTCTCAAACAGTTTTAAAATTGTCTAAGATTTGAAAACCGTCTAGTGTGTCTCAGGCCTATGTCTCTAAGGGTGTATTCACACCTGTCTTGTTTGGTTCAATTGAATCAAACACAAGTTTGTTTCCCCCTGTAGTGCGAATCTTTTGGGCAGGTGTGAATACAGCAATCGCACTCGGGTGCGGACCAAACAACCGCACCCGGGACCCAGCTGAAGAGGTGGTCTCGGTCCGGTTCCAAACGAACTCTGGTACCCTTGAGAATTTCTGTCCAATGAATGGATGACCTTAGCACATGTGTGGTGTTGTTTACAATTTCTGGTTCACTTGCAAAAAGGGCAGTATGAAAGCAAACCACACCAAACAAAGAAAAAAATCAACATTGCACTTGGTATGGACCAAAGCAAGAGAACTAGCGGACTTTCCTGGTGTGAATACACCCTGAGTCTTTGCCTGCATCTTTGCTGATGGTCTCTCTCATTTTCATTCCTTATTTTGTTTCAATATCTCAGACACAGCTCTGTGTCCTTTTCTGCAAATACTCTTCTGCAAATGCTCTGTGTTCAGCATCCCTACACTGTCTGTAGAGTCATTGCTTCTCAGCTACACTCAGTTTGGCCATACATGACTAATGTGGATTTACATTTGTGCCAGATGTTTTAATCTTATCCTTAGATTCTTTCTTTCTCTACTTTGCCAACATAAGATTTCAGGAGTAGTATTGTGCCACTACTGTCCGTGTAAGAGATCAAACACCAGAATTTTATAGTCCGTTTTGGTTTCCTTGTGTTGCCTGATTCACTCCACTAGTGGGTTTCCTTGGTTACTCATAAGATAATTGATTAGTTCTCACCAGTTTTGATTCTGTGTTTTGTGTATATAAGTTCTGAGTTTCCTTAGCTTAATTGTACTGCCTCGTTTTTGAATTTTGTGGATGCATATTCCCACTGAGCTCCTGTGAGTGTTCATTATCTTTGGATTGAAGACTCTTTTCGTGAAATTCCTTGTCTTGCACCGTATTAGCATAGCCACACTGTGACAAATGTCCAATGATTTGGGGGAATGTTTGTTCCTTCCTGATGAAGCTAAATTAGTGTAAATTATGTTCTATGTAAACAATTGTTTTTATTAAATCGGTTCAATAAAAAAAGGTTACAACACACAATATGCTATACACAACAAAAAAACGAGTGATGTGGACTGTTGCTGTATGTTTTTGTAGGTTGTCTGGCTGTATGGTGACAGAGGAAGGCTGTGGTTATATGTCTTCAGCTCTGAGTTCAAACCCCTCACACTTGAGAGAGCTAGATCTGAGCTACAATCATCCAGGAGATTCAGGAGTCAAGCTTCTCTCTGAAAAACTGGAGGATCCAAACTGCAAACACAAGTATGTTGAGCAGATAGATTTGACCATTTAATCTAGTATAAAGGATTTAAAGAGCACTATTCTGATGAGTAAAATCTTAACTAAATAGCTCAAAACAAATTAACAACAAAACAGTACTTTAACTCCCTAACTGGCCACAAGCAGGAGCAAACAGTAAAAATACAACAAAAAGGAAGCCACCTCCCTACAGTTTCCATTGCAAACATTAACAACTTTTAAATAAAAGAACAAAAAAGCCCTAATTTTAACTGACAAGTTAAATATTGGAATCACTATTACAGTAAATTAGTTAACATTACCCTAAGATTACCTACTCGCACTCAACCATAAGAATAGAAAGAAGAAAAAGACCACACTCTGGAAAACACTTAACTTCTGTGATCAGCATCCTGTCAAAGAGACTGTAAAACTGTAAAAAGAGCTGCCAAGAGCTTATAAGACACATACAAATGCACCAAACGGACCCACAAACTCTCAGAGAAATGATTAAACAGCAGTATAACTTACCTTTCATATAATAGTCACTTCAAACATCTGAATCACAGGTGCTGAGTTTCCAAACAGAAAATTAATGTTACTGTCATGGTACTGTGTAGATCAGGGATGGGCAACTTTGATAGTGACGAGGGCCAGCATTTTTTCTCCTTTATACCACGGGGCCAGATTACTAATCCACGTCCACACACCTTTTACACCGTCTTACTCAATTTCCTTTTTATTGAAGGAAATTAAAGTATAACTAATGTCATTTGTTTTTAAAGATTTTATTAAGTATAAAACTTGTGCAGTTATGCTAATTCAAAAGGAAAACTTTGTCGTCGGTGGAAAGAAATTTTCCCCTGACAAGCCAATGTAAACATTTCAATTGCATTGTCTGTAAATTTGCAACAAACAAATATACAGAGGTCCTTTTTTTAGTAGTAGCCTACGGAACATTCTCAAAACAACCTAAAAGGACAGTTAAAAAGGGCTTAATTAAAAAATATATATATAGTTATTCCAAATGGTACCATAAAATAACCTGGTATCTGCAGGATTTTTTTTCAAATTTAAGACCTTTAAAGACCTTTTTAAGATCTGCACTTCACATTTCAGCCTTTAAACGATTTTTAAGAAAAGGGATGAGTCAAAAGTATCAATTATTGACAACTAATTTATTTACTTTATATCTTCAAGACTTACATCCTCGTATGCACATCACTTCCTGTTACTGTATTTGGGTGCTTAGTTGCAAAACTTAATTGTAAACTTTTCAGATCATGATTATGATGTTTTAACAGACTGAAGTTATGATTACTGACTTTATATATTTGAATGTGTATTTTTATCCCGGCCCGGGACGATAGACTTGATATCATTATGTCATTGCGAATGACGTCATTACGTTAGGGCGTAAAAGAATCGATGAACCGTTTTTTTTAAACGGTTAATTGAAATGAACTGTCCGAAAGAACCGGTTCGTGGAAAAGAACCGGACTTCCCATCACTAGAACACATTATCAACTTCACAGCAACCACCAGAAGTACCCCAACAACTGCATGGCAACAAGCTTGTGTTCACTGACTGAATGTGACTCTGTGTGTGTTTTCTAGTGTGGATCATGGAGGAGAATCCAGGATTACAGCAGGACTACAGAAATGTACGTCTACATGCGCGCACATACACACACACACACACTCGCACACACACAGCTTTAGTGATTGTTCTTCTAAATGTCTCTGTTTTTGTGTTCAGATGCCTGTTTTCTCACAATGGATCCAAACACAGCAAACACTGAACTCAGTCTGTCTGTGGGGAACAGAACAGTGATACATGTGGAAGAGAAACAGTCGTATCCTGATCATCCAGACAGATTTGATTTTTATTCTCAGGTGTTGTGTAGAGAGAGTGTGTGTGGACGCTGTTACTGGGAGATTGAGTGGAGTGGAGAATATGTGTCTATATCAGTGTCATATAAGAGCATCAGCAGGAAAGGACGGGGTAGTGAGTGTGTGTTTGGATGTAATGATCATTCCTGGAGTTTGATCTGCTCTCCCTACAGATACTCATTCAGACACAATAATATATGGACTAATCTCCCAGTAAAGCCCATCAGCAAATGTTGTAGAATAGGAGTGTTTGTGGATCATAGTGCAGGAACTCTGTCCTTCTACAGCATCTCTGACACAATGAGCCTCATCCACACAGTCCAGACCACATTCACTCAGCCGCTCTGTGCTGGGTTTGGAGTAGATTATTCTGGAACATCAGTAAAACTGTGTTGATGGATCAGAATAGAGAGATTCTACCCATAATGCTTTGAGCTGCATGATGAATTAGTAACAGTGAGATGTTATAGAACAGTGTTTCTCACAGGGTCACAGAGTATACAGTCAAATAAACAACATAGACAAAAAAAAAGTAATTCTTATGCGACTATTTGAAAGACGTGTGTGAAAGCTGTTGACAGTTCTGTCAGTACCTGAAAAAAATGTGCTGTCCCAATTAGGTATCTGCAATCAGATGAAATGTTGTCAGGCTTAATGTCAGTGTCATTATTCTATTGTTATTTTCATTACTTATTATAAATAAAACTCTTTCACCTCAGAAAAATTAACTAATCTGTCCTGTCAGATGTTATACTGTGCTCGTAGCGCACACTCTTCAATTGCACACGCAAATGCGGCGGCGCACGCTGTATATCATTTCACTAAAGAGCAAAATAAACTACGAGCATGTTACATTTTAAATAAAAGAACTGCGTCATCTATGAGGTCGCTATGGAGAACGAAATACTCAACGCTGACATCCTAAGGAGAGTGCATGCCGCATTTCCTGAGGCAAGCACTGTGCACTGATTCCACAGAGTAACCATCGGAGTCGCCCCTTGGATGCATCAGCGGCTGTCAGTGACTCTATCCCCTTCGGCCAAAGGCCCAAGCTACATACCCAAATAACTTCTGTTAACCCTCTGGGGTTGAAGCCCGCGCCGGCACGTTTTGTGGCATTTTGTTCCTGATAACACCGAAAAGAACTTAAATTACACTTTCGTTTTTGATCTTACAGATAACAGAAATACATCATTAGAATCTGTAAAGGGTCTACTTTTATTTGTATACACTCAAAATAACAACAGAATGTTGTGCTTTTGTAAAATAAAGAAAACAAACGGTGTGCTTTCTGCCGTCTCGGTCTTAGTGAACAACTTTCTGAAATGGGTCACAAAAATGAACTGAAACTCAGCGATTACTTGACACACAGACACGAGAAATATATCTATAGAAAGCTTGAAGTGTCTACTTTTAAATGAAGTAAGTCGTGTCGAAAACAAATGTTCTCTGATAAAGTAATCCAAATGAAGCCAACGAGAGGTCCAGTCTTTCCCGTCTGAGCTCATTATCTGTAATGTGATCATGCCTACTCGCAGTGAGCTCTATTCATACAGTAATTCATACGTGAACATGTAAACACCTACATGGTTGCCAATTGTTCCATATGCGCTGCTCCAAAAAAATTAAGTGAATACTTGAATCACATATTGAATCTCAATTAATTACATTTTCCGTTTGAAAAATCTTTGAAAATTTTTATTTATATACATTCTATAATTTTTACGAATAAAATTATGTGAATAGAAACCAAAATTGAATCTCAATTAATTACATTTTCCGTTTGAAAAATCTTTGAAAATTTTTATTTATATACATTCTATAATTTTTACGAATAAAATTATGTGAATAGAAACCAAAATCATCAACACACTGATTTTGGTGTGATTTTGAATCCAGCCCTCAATGTAAAAAATTGAACTTAACTACTGATCACTGATTGGCCAGAGAGAATCATCACTACCTGTGTCACTGAACTTGCAACACAGAGACACAACAGAACCGCTAGATTTAAATAAGCACAGCTAGCGAAGGATTGAACGCAACTGTTTTGAACGAGTGCACCTTTTATTAACAACCAAAAAGTGGCTGTTTCGTTGTCTGTTGAGGAAGTACAGATGTTCCTCTCGTTGATAGCAGAGGAGCGGATCCAGCGATAGATTGATGGGGCGACGCAGAATGAAAAAGTTTTTCAGGAGTCGCGGCAGTAGAGGCAGGGCAGCTATAACGACATGTGAATAATCCCGCCCACTCTAAAGCGGTACTAAGCTGCAGTGGAAATGCAAACTGAGCCAAGCCGTGCCATACTGAGCAGAGTCGTAAAGCCGAAAAAGTGTCTTAAAAGTGTTTTCTGGGGGTTGCAACTCATTTGCAATCTGAGTTCTCTTTCTAACATTCGTTCGGTATCTCACTATGGGAACGCCTCAGGCATGTCCGATCGTGGAAGCACCAATAACACTATGTCTGCCAACTATGGCAGACCAATCGCTGCAGCGATCAGGGAGTCCCGCCTCCCTGTATATAGGGCTGCACGATATTGGAAAAAACTCACATTGCGATATTTTTTTTCTGCAATATACTGTATATTGCGATATGAAAAAAAATCAGATTACTTCAATAACTCTATTTGGGAAAAAATAATCAATGATTGGGGTGATTTTGTAGGCGAGTAAATCAGAAACAAATGACAAGCATAGATAAATAACAGAACAAAGATACAAATGAAATAAGCAGTGCGTTATATTTTTCAGGTAAGTCTAACAGTATTCAGGTACAGTTTTCTTTGTGTTTTGTTGTTTGATTAACGTTCATGACAGAGAAAGCAACAGGAACATTAAACTGTTGTGAACCAATATACTGTTACACATCCATTTTCTTTCTCAATTGTTTCCCTTCATCTAAGCCATAAGCATCTGTGTTTACAAGGATACTTGCAGAGCACCATATTTCAGGCACAAATGGATGCAGAAGTGAACAGAATTCAGAGTTCACATGCATCTGCGTGGCTCACACTGTATACACTGGACGCGAGCGGCGCAGCGCAACAAAATACTATAGAACCCATTTTAATCAGTGATGCTGTGTGACTGACTACACTGAATGCGGCACGGCACGACAAATCCCCAACAGTAAACTGATGCCACGTTCTCTTTATGACGAACTGACACAAAAGTTAAAATGATTTGCAAAGGTCGCTTTGTCGCGTCCAGTGTAGACAGACTTTGGGGCCATTCACATGTTGTGCCTAAAAACACGTGGAAAACGCCAGTCGCACAAAGAAAACAATCAGTACAAATATAACGACCAGTATACTAAACATTGCATATCCTGCGATGTGACTATTGCAGATGCGCACATCGCGATATCGATGCTAAAAAGATGTATCGTGCAGCCCTACCTGTATATAAACTGCAGTTTTATATAAAGTTTTAAACTGTATATAAAGTTTTTGGGGGCGCTCACCACGCACCAAAAAGAAGGAAAAGAAGAGCTCTCTATCGCAGCACAGCTCCGTACTTGTTGTTACATTGTGGTGGGCTTACCGTACGAAGAGAGTGCAGGCCCCATGGCCACTGCAAAAGAGCCGGAGAGCCCCGGTGGAAAAGGTCTTCCTCCCCATCCGTGTGATTGTGGAATGTGGATTTCTGTGAAGGATTCACACGGCCTCTGCATCTCCTGTTTGGGCGCTAAACACGCTCAGGTAGCTCCGTCCAACCCCGAGGGCTGTCCTCACTGCACGAAGTTCTCAGCTAAAACCCGAGAGTGGAGACTCCACGTGGCAGTAGCTGGGAAGTCGGACCCATGCCTCTGTGCTTAACCCAGAGAGGAACCGATGGATGGTCCGCAGGCCAGCAGCTCTTGGAGAAAGATGATGGAGAGGGTGTCACCTGTCCTTCCCCTTCGAAGATCCGTTAGCGGGATAGGAAGATGACGAGGACAAGAGAACGAGGATGACGATGATTAAGATGCTATTCTTCCCCCAAATCAGTCGCGTCCGCCAAGTGCACAGGATGTGAGTTCACTCTCCCCTGTACAGAGAGCGATACGTACACACTAGTGACGCATCTGGAGAGATTAGGTTTCAAGATAAACCAGACGGAGAGTTGTCTAACTCCTGCACAGGAAATGGTCTACTTGGGTCTCAGGTTGAATTCAGTGAGGTTTCGAGCTTTCCTATCAGAGGATCACATCAACTAATTTCACAGCTGCCTCTCCCTTTTTCAACGAGGGAGATCAGTCTCTTTCAGAATGTGTCTTCGGCTACTGGGTCTGATGGCCTCGACAGTGTCAGTGGTTACCCTGGGACTGCCGCGAATGAGGGCTTTTCAGATTTGGACAGTGTCACAGGTAGGGGTGGAATGGTTCAACTTACTCACGGTTTGGTTTGTATCACACTTTTAGAGTCACGGTTTTGGTATGGTTCGGTATGTGCTATGTTTAGGGAAAAACTATACTGTCAAATAAAAATAAAGAAAATAAGAATAATCTAACTACAAGCAACAGCACATAAATGCAATAGAGTAAAGATACAAATAAAATAAACAGTGATTTTCAGTTTTTTTAGGGAGGTCTAACATTAGGCAAGGCAAGTTTACTTGTATAGCACATTTCATACAGCTTGTTCTGTAAACATTTGTGAATGTTGCTGCTATTATAGCGGGGACCCGACACATATCACTGAGAGCTGTTATCAGTTGTTTTTGGTTCACCTACAGCAGATGGAGGGTTTGGGCCCTGGCGTTGTGGCAGCGGCCGGAGAGCTCTCACAAGAGGAGGAAGACGAGCTGGGCCCACAGGCTTTGGTGGTTGTGGTCCAAGAATAAACCAGTTCCTCCATTTTCTGTGAGAAGCTTAGAAGTGGAGATGTTGGAGAGAGGAATAATGTGTCTGGTGAGCAGGGCTCTGGCTCTGTTGTTTCCGGTGGCTGTGATATGTTGTCCTGGCTTCCCTGGCTGTTTTCCAGAAAGTCATCCTTGGATGCTGAGTCTTGGAGCTGTTCTGATACGTCACAGTCTGTCTGTGATGAGCTCTGTGGGAAGGGCTCAGCCGTGATGGTGTCCATGAGCAGTGTTTGTTGTGGCTGCGTGGTGTTATCAGTGTCCTTGTGGGATGTTAGTTTAACATTAGTTTTTAGGTACAGAAATTCAATAAAGTAATGAAATGTAAAACAGCATTGCATATTTCACTGTATAAATTAAAGATGAATCTTTATTAAAGAGTGAATTCTTTGTTGTTGCTATTTGATTAATATTAAGAAAGTGCTGTCACTTTAAGAGAATGCACTGATCCAGTGTACTGATACAGTACATTCAGCCGACTATGTCTGCTATAGTATACTTACCAAGACGGGCATTTTGACATCATTTTTGTGTGTATTTGTCCATTTAAACAGAGAG